GCTCATTAGCATGTCCCTTCCCTTCCCCTCCCATTCCCCTTCTCCCACCTGCTAGTGCCACTATGCTCACATTCTCTGGCTGACCTGGAGGCAGAGGAGCTTATCCTGCCCTGCTGCAGAGAGCTGGGCTCAGCCAGAGATGCAGAGTTGGCAGGTGGATTTTCCCTCCCAGAGCCTACTCCCAGAATGGCAAAGAACACCTGGCGCAGTGGCAACACCTAGAGGGTGCACGTGCATCCCATGAGAGAGCTGGTGCACCCCATGACATGCTGTACTCCCTGCTTAGGCGATGGGCAGGGAAGGCAGGCGGGAGCACCGGTGGCCCCCCTGTGAGCACTGGCCAGGGAGTGGGAGCACTGCAGCTGCTTCCTGGCCAGTGCGATCGGCTGGGGGGGGGGGCCCCCCCCCCCCCCCCCACCCCCCCCTCCGACTAAGCTGGCACCAGTCACCTGTGACTCAGGGGCTAAGCAGGAAGGAGAAACTCACGGACTGCTCCTATCCCTGGGCTGAGCCCAGCTGGAGCAGCTCAAGAATGGCTTCCAAGGCAATTGGAGACAGCAGCAGCAGTAGCTGTGGGGCAGGAATGTTTAGTGGAAGTGCCACTGAACATGGAGGGGAAGGGATGCTTGGCAGCTGTAGAAAAGGAAGAGACTGAGGCCCCAGTGAAGCATGGCACTTGTGTTTAAATCTGCTTATGTATTAATATGCTTTGCTGTACTGGCTCCTGCCCTGCAGATGGGAGGAAAGGGTTAGGGTGCTAGTGAAAGAACAGGGTTGTTTCTCTAGTAGTTTTGCTTTTACATTTTCCCTTTCTGATGAGAACTATTTGCCTTTTAGATACTGTGTTAGACTCATCTCCCAATCAGCTCTTTGAACAAGAAAATCACCTGGGCCTGATAGATGCTGGATTTTTCATCAATAACAGTAGTTCACCGCTTCTAAGACCAGAGAGGAATGTGGATATCATCATATATTTAAGTTACACTACAGGGTCTCACGTTTTGGTGAGGAGAATCAGACTATTTGGGCTTTTTCCCCCATTTCTTGTTTTGTTTGTAAACATCTAGCATGTAGCCCTTTGAAATATTACTTATGATATTTTAATTATTTTAACTTTAATTAAATTACTTGGAATTATTGCTTTTCCATTTCCAAATGCAAGAAGAAAATCATTCTAGGAGAGAAAATTTGGCTACTGATTTGAATGGCATGAATCCTTGTTTGAGAAGCATTGATACATGCATTGCATTTAATTAATACATCTTGTTTTCATCTGGCCATCACTGATCTCTGGGCTTTAGAAACTGTAGAAGGGAGATAAGGCTCTGTAATACTATTTGTGGCAGGGGATACAGAGAGGTGTGCTGCTAGGAGTAGGTCTTTCAATGCAGCAATGAATCTACTTTCAGTTTCTTCCTGTGATTTTTAGGCTGTCTCTTGCTGATTTATAAATTTATTGAAAAATAATAAATTTATTATAAATATTATCAATGTAAATATAATCAAGATCCATCTTTTCTCAACTTGGGGTGTAAAAGGGATCTTTTGTGGTTCCCACTGAAATGTCTTCATCTTCAATTAGCATAAAGTGACTAATATTGTAGTAGATTTCAAGACCCTGTATAGGAAAGTTACATAAAGGGCCTTGTTACACAATCATTTTGGGCAGCTCCTGAAGCTCTTAACCCCTGGATTGTCTGCACATTAACATCTGAAACAGGTTTTAAGCACTCGTAGATTATTTAAAGTTATGCCATTCCAGAGCAGGATTATCTCTGATCTACGTTACTGAACTCATATTACACTAAGAGTGTAGACAGAAGTGCAGCTCCCCCCTGTAACTAAGAATGCTTTGCAGGATCCCTTCTACAACCTGAGTAGAGAAAATATTGTTCTTGTCACAAATAATATTACAGAGTCTTATCTAGCTTTAAACGTTTGTGGTTTATAAATGTTCCTCTGTTTGTCTGGGCATGTCTACATGTGTGCATTTACTGCACAGTAACCAAAATTACTGTACAGCATGGCATGCGTCCCACATGCATGCCTATGCTGCACAGTAAATATGGTGACTAATGCCGACTTGAGTGTAAAATTGATACCTGCACCATGCAGGTATCAAATTTACACCCGATTAATTACTGCACAGTGACGCACATGTAGATGCCTTACTGTGCAGTAACACTGTGTATGTGGACTGACTTGGGACTAACTTTATTCCTAAATCAGTCCACACACGGTGTTAATGTACTTTAATGCCTGCACATGTAGATGCTGGCCTATTCCCACTTACTGCACAGTAACTTTTACTGCACAGTAAATTTAAGCTGGTGTAAATGCACGTGCGGACACACCCTCTCTGTAACCACGTGGTTATTTTGTGTCAAATACTTTGGGTGGGACCAAACCCCAAATGTATTGTACATATTATTCTTTATAATTTATAGATCTCAAAATGTACGCAGTCTCTGGCATATGTCAGGATGGTCATACAAGTATTACGCTGTGATGTAATATTAGTTGATGAGCTTCAGGAAATTCAAAACTTAAGCTATTTGGTTTCTAACACTGTTTGCTGCTTTGCCCTATCTAGCCTCTAGAGAAGGCCTGTAAGTACTATATGAATCAGAAAATCCCATTCCCCAATGTTTGCCTGAGTGAAGAGGATAAGAAAAATCTGAAGGAGTGCTACGTGTTTCAAGATTTAGATACCCCTGGATGTCCTATTGTGCTATTTTTTCCACTAGTGAATGACACCTTCCAACATTACAAAGCACCTGGTAAGTTATGAAAAACAGCACAGCATTCAGCTCATTTGATAAATATCTTCTCATGTGGGGGTTAGCAACCTATGGCTCCAGGCCAGTTCTGGCCTGGAGAAGGTCTGATTTGGTCTGTGTTTAACTAGAGGTGCACTAATTCCTCAGACATTTCATTCAGTCAGTGTTTTACTAATGGTGTGCTGATCACCTCCGCCACTCCACCTAGTTGCTACTCTGCTCGCTGCCACCGGAGAATGGGGCCCTTGGTACCAGCCGCATTGCAAGTGGTAACCCACACTTGCTGACCCATGTGGTGCTCTCAAATATTTCTGTTGTGTGTTTCATCTGGGCATTTAATCATGTATTTGGGCTTTCAGAAGGGCAAGAAGACAGCTTTGTTTTTAGTATAAATATCTACAGTGGCTGTCTTGCTATTTACCCTTCTGATGGTGCTCATCTTTTCATTGGCTTTGACATTGCCTTGCACATTGTGGTGTGTTCTGGAGCTGTCTCTCTTCTTTTTTTTTTTTTAATTTCCATCTCCCAGATCCTCAAACACCTGTTCTTCTCCACATGTTGCTAGGGAGGCATTGCCCCTTTCCTGCTTGTGGCAACCCTGTGTCTGGGAACCCAGGGCACAGGGGCAGTGGTGACTTTCCAGTTGTCACTATGGGCAGCAGTCTTTTTTTTTTTTTTTTTTTTTTTTTTTTTTTTTGGCCCTACCATAATTATGCCACTGAATTGTGCTGCTTCAGCAGTGCAAAAAGATCTTAAACCTGCCTTTAAAGTACTACATGAACTTCCCTGGAGCCCAACCAGATCCTTACCTGGCCCTAGGCAATTTTCTGCTTTGAGAGGGCAGTCACATGTTACAAAATCACTTAAATTGCATCAGAATTGGGCACCTGAAATTATGGCTCAGTCTTGTCTGAGGCTGCTGTTACTAGGCTGCAGGAAATTATGAAACTGACAGGTCTCTTCCTCAATCTACATCATATCAGCCACCTAATAGTCACCTGACTAGGAAATCATGATCTACAGATCAAATTACTGGAGTACATCAGAAACATTTGTTAAAATTTTCCCAGAACAATTAGATTAATATTCTCTCTCACTGGAGGGATCAATGCAGTGCCTTCTTTAATTGTTTTTTCTCCTAGGTGTGAAGCGCTGCTGCTCAGAGATGGAGGAGGGCAAGGTTGACCTCACCAGTCTGTTTTCACCCTATTCTATGTATGCAGTTAAATACACTGAGGAGAATTACCGTCGGCTGCTGAATCTTAGTGAATACAATGTGCTGAATAATGCACACCTGATTATCCAGGCCTTACATACTGTAGTACAAAGGAAAAGGCAATGTTGGAAATAATTGCCATTTCAAAAGCCTGTATCTTCTGGGATGAGATTTTTGTAGCTCATAGATGGACCACGGCTTTCTGATGATTAGCCATCAGAAGAAACTTAACTTAACATTTTGCCACAGAAGAAACTTAACTTGGGTGCCTGAGTGGATTTTCTTTTATCCCCATAAAATGGCTGACCTATGTAATCAAAGTTTACTATCTATGAAGACCTTATACTTTGTTTCCTAATCAAATTAATTGCAGAAACCTTGTAGAATACTGTTGAAATTAAATTGTAAGTCATTTTAATCCAATAAAGTATAATTTATAAATTCTATTAATTGTTTTAAATCTTTAAGAAGGTATAAATACCATAATACAACATGGTTCTTCATCATTGGGCGTGTCTACATGCAAAATTTAATGCAACTGAATATACTCCGACTCAATTTGAGCTGGAGTAACCTCATTCTCACATCACCATCTACACATGTATTTAAGTGCAGTAATTTACTGCACTGCTGGATACCACTTGTATCTCACAGGACTATCCAGCAGTGTAGTAAATTAGTCTACTGCACTTTAATTGCTGCACATGTGTAGACGGTGATGCTTTACTGTGCAGCATATTAGCCTACTAAGCAGTAAAGTGTCTCATGTAGATGTGCCTAGTAGGAAGAATGGAAAGGATTGGGAAGAAGTGAGGTGTTTTTGCTCCTCCAACTTTATTTCCCCAAGTCAACAATGTGAAGACAGGGCTGGATGCTTAGGACAAAGCAGAAGCAGCTACTTCTAGTTTGTGAATATTAATGCGCAGCTGCCAGCAGCAACTACTTTTTTTGTCCTCCACTCTATGTCTTCCCCCCTCCCCCCCCAAATCAATTCCCATGGCATTTGCCCCTAGTTACACCACTGATCTTAGTACAGTGTACACCCAAATCCAGCAAGGTGCTTTTTCTTCCTTCAAAATTTTCTTCCACTGCTGCTGTTCTCCCTAGTGACTTCCTCTTCCTTCTTGTGACTCCTGAAGTTGGCCTGGTCCTGCTGATCTGTCTGTTGGCACAATCTTCAGGACAGAGAGAAGAATCAACTGCAGCAGTGCTTCCTCCTGTCTGTGGGAACGGATGTGGAAAGGGCGCATAAAGCTATCCCTTCTTTCCTACCAGCCTTGTCCTCAAATGGGAGGCACCAAAAATTAAAAAAGGACACAAGAAAGTGTTTAATTAGGAGTCCTGTACTCAGGCATAGAAGCAAGACAGAGAGCATACCCATGAGAAGTTGAAACTGCTCTCAAATCTTGAAGGGCTGTATCAAAGTGGTTGGAAACACAATTAGGATAAATATCCCATTCAATCAACCATCAGGAATAAAAGAACAATAAATGGCTTCTTGACTTGAATTGGACATATAAGAGTAAGGAGAAATCTTTTGGATGAAATATTCATATTAATGCCCAAATTGTATATTAATTTTGCTGCATTGTTTTTGTTGTGTGTTTGTGCAAGTGAGGTGGAGGAAGAATCTGAAAGCCCAAACATTTCCTTTTTACATATTTGGACTGGAACATTTTGTTTTTTCAATTTGAATGACTTTTTTTTTTCAAATTATCTTTTAAAATGTGTTTATAAAGAGAGGAAAGCCCATCTCAAACTCAAAATGAGATGTTTCATTTTAATTTGCGCAAAATGTGTTGCTGGATGTCAAGCAGACTTTAAAAAAAAGGAACATTCAGACAACCAAAAACATTCATTGCTTCTAGAGCTTTGTACTAGAGTTACACACTGCATTCAAGCAGGTGGCTGGTAGCCTGCAGCATGTACTACCAGTAGTGTAACTTGGTTGAAGTGAGTGGGATGCTGGCCTTAGGCATTGGCCTAGTGGGGATGCTGAAAGGTGCCCCCATTCCTGCAGGGTCTGCACACTAGCAACAGCAGCAATAACCAGGACAGGTAAACCAAGCCATAGCTGCATCAGCAGAGGACTTCATTGAGTCCCTGGAAAGGTAAGGCTCTCTCCCTTCTGGCACCCAGGATGCAAACCCTGCTAATTACACCTCTATGTAGTACAACCAAAAAGAGCCACAAGCTTGTGTATATGTGAGATCTGTATCCTATAAAGATTGAAGTGACTTGGCATACGATTGCTTTTTGAAACATTTTAAGACTTTTTTTTTTTTTACCAGGAGTGATGTCCATCCACTATAATAGAATGCCAGTATTCACTGTAAAACAGCAAATATAGTATAGTGGTCATTGCATTCCACAAACAAGATATGCTGATAATAAATCTCCATTTTACTGATAAACTTTGTGTCCTAATGAAAGCTGAGCAAAGTCGAGTATTTTGTTTCAAAATGTATCTTGGTTTTTTTCAAAAAGGCAACCCCCACTCCAAAGCTAGTGAATAGGTTTACAGTCAAATCACATTTACGATCTCTGCGCAGTTATCTCCACATACCTATTTTTTGTGAAGTGCCTGCTAGGCAAATTAGTCCAGGGCATTTAATCCTTAATTACTCAATTTGGCAAAGTTTAAAATGGTCTCCTTAGCAAGCCAAATCTCAAGTATGATTTTCTTCAGTATTGTGTTGAGGATTTAGTGTCCCAGGTCCACTGAAGTTCCCACTGACACACACATTTGGCTATTGCACTTGGATCCACACACTGGCCCAATACACTCATGGTCTCCCTTTGATCAAGGTAGGTTCCAATCATTGCGTCTGGCACATTTTCTGGAAAGAGATGTTATATCTAGCATCCCTTTTTTAGCAGTGAGACCTTATAGCCTAGCTACCTTCAGCAGCAGGAAAAGTGCTGATACCCCAAGTCTTCCTGTATTGTAAGCAAGTCATTCTCAGAGCTCTTATTTTGTGAGTGCTCTTGGTTTATAGTTTACTCCCTTAGGACACAGGCTAGTAAAAGAAATCAAAGACTGATATTGCAGAGATATTCATAAAAGAATCACTGCAACCTAATAAAAAAGGTCAGCATCCCACTCACTTCAACCAAGTTACACTACTGGTGCCCTTGTGAAGGCCCAGCAGGGGAAACGATGCTGAGGGGAAACCAGCACGTGTTTGTCACGGGTAGATCCTGCCTGACAAACCTTGTAGCCTTCTATGACCAAGTCACACACTGCCTGGATGCAGGAGCCGAGGCTGATGTCATCTTCCTGGACTTTAGGAAGGCCTTCGACACAGTCTCACACCCTATCCTCATTGGGAAGCTAGCAGACTGTGGAGTGGACGCCTACATGGTCTGGTGGGTGGCCAGCTGGCTTAGGGACCGCACCCAGAGAGTGGTGGTGGATGGTTCCTTCTCAGCCTGGAGGGTGGTGGGCAGTGGGGTCCCGCAGGGTTCGGTCCTTGGACTGGTATTATTTAATATCTTCATCAGCGATTTGGACAAGGATGTGGAGAGCATCCTCTCCAAGTTCGCTGATGATACCAAGTTATGGGGCAAAGTTAGTACACCGGAGGGCAGGGAGCAGATTCAGGCCGACCTGGACAGGTTAATGGGCAGAGAGAACTAGGATGCAATTTAATATTAATAAAGATAAATGTAAGGTACTCCACCTGGGAAGGGGGAACCCCCAGCACACCTATAGGTTGGGGAGTGTCCTTCTCAGCAGCTCAGAGGCAGAGAGGGATCTTGGAGTCATAATTGACTCCAAGATGAACATGAACTGGCAGTGTAACGAGGCCATCAACAAGGCCAATCGCATCTTGTCGTGCATTAGCAGGTGCATGACTAATAGATCAAAGGAGGTGATGCTCCCCCTCTATGCGGTACTGGTCAGGCCGCAGTTGGAGTACTGTGTCCAGTTCTTGGCGCCACACTTCAAGAGGGATGCGGAGAATCTGGAGAGGGTCCAGAGGAGGGCCACTCGCATGATTAGTGGCCTTCGGGAAAGACCCTACGGGGGTAGGTTGAGAGAGCTGAATCTCTTCAGCCTTCACAAGAGACGGCTGAGGGGAGATCTTGTGGCCGCCTATAGATTTATTAGGGGAGGTCAATGGGGAATAGGTGACGTGCTGTTTACTAGGGCACCCCAGGGAGTGACTAGGAATAACGGGTGTAAACTAGTTGAGAGTGGATTTAGGTTAGATATTAGGAAGAAATTTTTCACAGTAAGGGTGGCCAGGAGCTGGAATGGGCTTCCAAGAGAGGTGGTGCTATTGGAGGACTTCAAGAGGAGGCTAGATAGTCACCTGGCTGGGGTCATCTGACCTCGGTCCTCTTTCCTGCCAGGGGCAGGGGGGTCAGACACGATGATCCATTGTGGTCCCTTGTGACTCTACAATCTATGAATCTATGAAAAAATGTCTTGCTTTTCACAAAGCCATGTTACCATGCCATGCATATAATAGGAGCATACCTTTCATGTAGGCGCATTGCCCTGGGTGTTGTGAGATGATATTGCCTGACTATGTTTTGTCTGTATAGTTTTGTTTTGACCATGCTGATTGCCAAAGTTCTTTGGCATAGGGAGAGGTGATACTATAAGGAGCCTGGTGCTGATATTAAACAATTAAATTTAGCAATCCTTGGTAGACTAGTAGCTTTCTGTTCTTAACCAGTGTAATCAGATTGAGAGTCGAGCCAAAGACTACCCTTCACCAGGTCTTTTGACCCATGCTAACTATCATGCTGTCTCCACATTATCAATGATGTAGCAGACTACACATTGTTACAATTTATTATTATTTGTCATAAGCCCATTGCTGCGAAGGATGTATTTCAGCATCTCCTGTCCTCGTCACTGCATCTGCAATGAACTGTCTCCCAATTTAGTCACCCACAAAATTCATTTCCCCAGTGTGAGAAACTGGGAGGAGATTTTTTGTTTAAGAAACCAGAGAGAGGTGGGGCTCTGAGTCAGTTTATAAAACAGCTGTTCATCCACTTCTGCTGGTTTAAACACTATAAATATATTTTGGGAGTCACTGTGAGCTCTGAGATGTAGCATTCAAATTCCACTGGCAGTGTTTTATTTACATTTAACAGAAGCCATAATGGAGTCATGTGCCAGTTCACCTCAGGTAAGAAAGCCCTAAGACAACTTAAGGTTCTTGGAGTTGCCAGCTTATTCAAAGTATGTATAGTGCCAAGGAGGTACTAATAGTCCTGCTTTAGGATTAATTTTTATTATATTAATTGCTACTCATGGCTCTTTCCAGGCTGGGGGAAAGGGAACTTAGCTTAAGGCACTTAAAGCCTAAATGAAAAATGATAATATGGTATGGGGAGGGAGGAACACTGGAAACAAAAGAAAGCAAGGGAAAGAAGCAAACCCCTTTGAGGAAGTAGGTTTATTTACAAAGATTTCAGATCATATGGGGTTTTGGCATGGTTCATGGTTTTTATTGACTCAAAACGTTTTAAAAATGTAATGTAATTAGCCCTCCAAGATGGAATAAGCATCAGAGAGTAAGATTCAAGTCACAGAGTAAATTTTAATTCCAGATTTGGAGTGGGGTTGTAGCTGTAAAAGTCTCAGAAATATGCAAGATGCCAGGTTGTTTTGGTAATATTGTTTACTGACCTGCCTATGTAGTTGAGAGAGATGTTAGACAAGTTTTTGGGCATATGTGCCTTCTTCATGTCTCTACATTCAGTTTATAGAAAGAGGTTTGCTGTTGCTGGAATAGTCACAGCCAAGAAGTCCCTTCTTCTTCTGCTGTGTCATAAAGGTGGCTCTTATGTGGTTTTTGTGCTTACATGCAGACCACTTCAACAAACTAAGATGTAAAACAATGGTACTTGGGGTACCAGATGAGCACTGTCACCTGCTGAGTCTTTGTGCAGAATTCTTCTTATGCACTTTGAGCCTTTGTTACTGATAATGAAGAGTAATACTGGGGGAGGGAATTCTTTTGGTCAGTGTTACCATTTACCTTTTCTGCTTCAGGACGTGATGGGCACTAAGACAAAAATATTGGAAAAGGGAGAAGTTACTCAGATGAAGATGTGCACAGAGCAGTGGATTTCTGATACTAAGGTATTATAAAAGAGAATTTCAAAATCAAACTGCACTAGGGATTTCTTTGCTGGGTGGAGGGAAGGAAAAGACAGACATTCATCCTCTAATTAGTGACCAACGAATCCAGGTTTCTAGATGAAACACACTAATGCTTATCATTGTAATCGTTTGATTTCTCCATCTTTTAATCCTGTTAAAGTTCCATTTCTGCATTTTATGTTTGTCATATTGGAAACAAACATTCTTTTAGTATCTATGTTACTTTAAAAGGGATTGGTTTAAAGGGCCCTTCTGTTGTAAAATATACATTTTTGAAGCTAGGATATGTTTACTGCTGATATAAGTGGAAGTGACATCAGTGGAGTTGTGTCTTTTATATCCAAAACAAATCTGGGTCCTCATCTCCCTGAGGTTTCAAGCTACAATGTTCAGGGTAAATATTAATTTTGGACTCTGTCAGAGGCAAAATAACCAAAGCCAAGGGCTTCCAGGCAAATTAATGCATATTATATGAAATTTTCCCTGTGATAAGTCAAAGTACATGTTTGCCTCAAAAAGAAAGCTCTTTATGCTGACAACCTTTCCAGCCATGGCCCTGTCTATGGTTATTTTTGATGAAGTGTCTTGAGACGGGAGTCTTAGTGTCACCCTAAGCCCTTCTACTTTAATTGGTCCCTGTGGGCCTGGCTTTGGGCATAGGCACAGCAGAGAAGTCACACTGGTCTAACCAGCTGGCAATCCTTTCTGATGAATACATCATGTTATTCTTTCCATGTTGATTGTCTCTTTTACCTAGTGTGCAAATTGAAACTTAAATTTATGCAAAAAGAGATCCCATCTTCAAAATAAGCTCTCATGTACTCAACTAGAAGCTGATGGCTGAAGGTCAAGTCTGGTCAATTAATTTGATAAAGACATATCTGATTAATTGAATTTCCACCCAATATTTGAGAAGACCTGATCCTGCACCACTGATATCAATGGGAGCTCTGCCGTTGATTTCAATGGGTGCATGATTGAGCCCTTTGTGTATGAGGTAATAATATTTGTCAGGGTGCTTCCTATTCAGCCCACTGAAGAATACACAGCTAAATTTGACACAGCTGAATAGATTTGCAGCTATATAAAAGGCTGTTCTTGTGCATATTGGTAATAATGTTGGTCAACATTTTCCAGAATATGATCAATTGATTGTTTTCCCTTCAATTTCCATGGACAAATTAGTAGAATTAAGAGTCTCTGTTTCTTTAGCATCTGTTGCTGTCTCTGTCTCTTTATTAAACTGTCTGGGAAACATCATACATTTTGGTAAGGTCATAGTAAATTCCAAATACACCAACCATTTAGGGAACTGCTCCCTTTCGTTGATTACTTTTATGGAATATATTAATATGCTATGTAATGTCTTATTATTTTTTTTGCAGTTCTGCAGTGTTTCTCATCCAATGATCATAAACTGTTTTATAAACAGTGAACCAGATACTTCAGCTCTTTTTCAGTGATTAATTTAGTGAAATCTGTGAGATTTGCCTATTAATCATTAAGTACCCAGAGCATCCTCTAAGCCAGGGGTGGGCAAAATACAGCCTGCGGGCTGCATCCGGTCCACCAGGCCATTCTGTCTGGCCCGTGGGGCCCCTAAAAATTTTAGAAAATATATCATTATGTGATCCTGGTTGCCTGTCAAAGATGACAGGAGACAGGGGCAGTAGGACCCAGAGGGAGCTGGCAGAAGTCAGCAACAAAGCCAGCCTGGCCCTGCCCACCCCCCCAGTCACAACCCCCTCCCCCCCACATCCTGCAACCAGAAGTCTCTACCTGCTGCTCCAGCACCATGTGTCTGCATCTCCAGACTGCAGGAGTATGGGGCCCATACCAGTGCTCTGGGGCCAGGAGCAGGATGGTGGGTGGGTGGGGGTGTGTCCATGCAATGAGGGATGGGGAGAGAGAGAGACAGAGAGCAATGAGGGAGGGAGAGGCTGTGTGCATGTGTGTGTGTGTGTGTATGTGTGTGTGTGTGTGAGAGAGAGAGAGAGAGACTGTGTGTGTGTGTGTGTGTGTGAGACTGTGTTTGCGCTCATATGTGTATTATATACATATACACACACTATATATGTATGTATATGTACATTCGTATATATATATACTTTTATACATTCATATATATGGATGCAATATGTGAATGCATACAAATGAGGAAGGGAGAGAAGGAAAGTGTGTGTGTTCATAGGGCAAGTCCCACATGCACACTCCACAAGACACATGCACCCACACCCCCCTCTCATACCCCAGCCACCCTACCCCAACACACATCCTCCACAAGCCCCATACCCACCCACACCCCACATATCCACATGCTCCCTCACCCCACATTCCCACACCTAACAGCCTCACCACAAACCTATCTCCATGCCCCCCCCCCAAATATACAAGAGTAAGACTTCATTTTAAGCTGTTGTGCAATCACCTTTATGTACACTACACAAATGCATGTAATTCAGGACAAAAATATTTTTTGAAATCAAATTAATGAATGTTGTAGAGATTTAATTTTTAGAATATAATTTGGTATTTTTCTGGTTTTGAGATGGTAAAACCCCTTGCTGAAAGGAGTATTTCTGGGGGCAAGGGGAGGGACTTCTGGTGGTAAAAGTTAGGGGTTAGGGGGTGGGACATCTGGTCAAAGATGGTGACCAGGGACAGGGCACCTGTGAAGGGGTGGGGCTACCAGTGTGGCCCTTGACACCTTGCCAAAACTCAGTAAGCAGCCCTCCAGCTGAAATCATTGCCTGCCCCTGCTATAACTCTTCTTTTTCTCACCTAAGAAATGCATTAAAACATCTCAATTTATGAATTGGCCCCAAATCTTATACTACACACATTTATATTTGAGTATATGTCTACACAGCCCAGGGCTCAGCAAAGCTAATTGGTAGGCCTGTGCGAGTAGGCAGGTATTCAGTCCGGCTTCGGATCCGGCTGCTTCAGATGTCAGCAATCTGATCTGGAGCCTCTTTGATCTGGCTGAAGCAGCTCCAAAGCTTCAGAGCCACCTTAGAGAACTGGCCATAGGTTATAATGGGGGATCAATGAAATATCTATAACTTTGTTGTTTTATCTCCAATATGAGTGAAACTTGTAGGGGTGGTAGCCTCTGCTGCGAGCATGAAGCCTGCCAAGTTTCAAGAAGTTAGGTTCAGGGGTTTAGGGGGAACTGCACTCCAAATTCTTGAAAGCAAAACTCCTGTCATTCTGTGCCCACCTAACCTCGAACAGCTGTTCACGTGCTGCCTTGGTGCGGGCAGTCAGTAACAGGCGTACCAGTATTTCTTGTAGACCCTGAGGTAGATACCTGTGACCTAGGTGGTTTCCTGCCATGACTTTGGATGTAATTTCAGTGGAGGGGTAAACCGCCAGGGGTTCCTCAGTGGTAGGTAGTCAGCTAGATGGCTGTCCATAGGCTCCACCTCCCCTACACCCCAGCCTCACGCCAACCTTCGGTGGGTTCCTAGATCTTGAGTCGGCTGTTCCTCCAACGCAGCTGTGCCCTTGACCCCAGCACTCTCTTGGATCTTGTGTCCCGAGCATTTTTCTCCTACAGCAGTCCAACTGACCTACTAGCTAGCCTAAGCTGGACCTCTTCCTGCCCAGAGCTACCTCAAGCTGGAAGAAGCCAACAGAAAAAAAAGTAATGGAAGGAAGTCGCCCTGCCGGCACCTCTATGCTGCACTCTATTCCCCTTAACCGAGACCTTTTCCCCACTAGGGTACTTAGTTCACTTGCGTTATTTGTCCCGCCACCACAACCCCTCCAAAAGTGGGGGGGGGAAAAAGAGAACGAAACAAAATTATGAGTTGGGGAGGGTCTGCTTGGTTCCCTCCATGGCCCTACAGTTAGGACATGGTGGTGCCTCCTCATCACCTCCCTGGTATTTCTTCATTCCCATCCCCGCCAGTCAGTCTTCCGTACCTGGTACCTGGGAACACTCAGGGTGATGACCCGTCATCTGGCCTGGGATGGTTAAGTCTCCTCTTCCTGGCCCCTTGCTTCCCTCATGCTGCTGAATGTGGCTTGAGAAACTGCTCTCCCTCTATGTTGTCTTTGGCGTTCTGCTTCCAGTGCCTCGTGGTCCTTCAGGCTCTGGTCTGCCGCTGCCTGTGCTGCGAGCTGCTACCACGTCTGTCACTGCCCCTCTTCTGGGCTCTACTTCTCGCTGCAGACTCCAGCCTCTGCCAGTGCAGAGACCCTCTGCTGGCTCTCCTTTCTCCCGGGCACACCAGGCATTGCTGGTGCAGAAAGCTTACACCAGCTCTCTTTCCTCCAGGGCACACCAACCATCATCGGTGCAGAGAGCCTATGCTGGCTCTCCTCTCTCCTAAGTATGCCAGTTGCTGCCAGAGCAGAGAGCTGCCACTGACTCTCCTCCCTGCATGCCCCAGCCTCCACTGGTGATTCCTTTTATTCCTGCCAGCCGGTGATTGCCAGTGACATCACCGGCCGCCCTAAGCTGTATAAATGCATGGTTTATAACTTGCGCGGGTTCCCCTCTTTGCTCTTGCAGCGCCACGGGCCCTGTTACAGATTAGTTTTCTTGTGTTTTTTTCTCTCTCATCCATGGCCCCCACCTTCGGAGCCCCTAGGGTGTGATTCAGGGCTCTTTCATCTGATCGCCCCTGGGACACATGTCTATGTGTTGCACCACAGGGTGGGGGGTGAAAACTGCAGGGGTGGTAGCCCCTGGTGAGGCCACAAAGCATGCCAAGTTTCCAGAAGATAGGTGCAGGGATTTGGGGGAAACTGCACCTCAAGTTGCTGACAGGCAAAACTTGTGACACAGATGACCGTGTGTGTGTTAAGGTGCAGCAAGATGAAAACTGCATGGGTGGTGGCCCCTGCTCAGGCCACAAAGCATGCCAAGTTTCAAGAAGATACGAGCAGGGGTTTGGGGGGAACTGCACCTCAAGCTGCTGACAGGCAAAACTCATGACATAGATGACCCTGTGGTTTGTACATTCAAACAAGCACCTAACCTCATCACTGGAACTGAAGCCAACTTCCTACAGCTCAAAACACAAAACCTGCCAACTATCTCCAGTACCCCCACAAACTGCGTGCCAGAATCAATCAAACACCAAAACCCAACTACCTGTGAGGGCACATTCCTCACGAAAAAAAACACTGTCTCCAGTCTCTCAGGCCTGATCCTGAGAGGGAACAAATTACAATGCCAACCACTTTTCAGAGCTGGGCCTATGAACTGCACTTCATCGGCCTCCTATGTAATAGGTACAGAAACTCAATATGCACAATGGAATTCTGGCACACTGCGACCTGCCGGACATCTAACACCCCAGGCACCTCTGCACTTTTACCTGCATTGCTACATCCCTCTTCCCCCACTACGCCCCACCCCAGCCTGTCCTTCACCCCCTGATGCCTCCATTTCCATTTTCACTGACTGGCTTTCTTGCTTGCTTCTTGATTACTCCTTCTATCCAAAACCAACTGCAGGTACTTCCTCAACCAGACAAAGGGGTTTTCAACTCAGCTGGCATCCCGGGCAGCTAAACTGAGCTCACTGGGAGCCTCACAATTACACTGCAACCAGCAAGCATCAGGCCTGTCAAAGACGTGACAGGTCTGGGCATTCCCCAGCCAGGACTTTGTGTGTGTGTGCATTAGCTGGAGGTTATGGCACCTCCTACCTGCCTTTCACCAGGGGATCATTGGTCCTAGCATTTACGGGGCTGCCACGCCAACAGCAGTCCCACCAGGCATCCCTACCCTGGCAGGGTGCAGTTTTAGTCATGCCCAGGACCTGGGGCCACCTCCTTCCCCATAGCCCCAATCCCATACCTCCAAATACATCCTGCCAGGGGAATGAGCTCAGCAGGGACATGTTCTTCACCTGCTGGCTGGTGAGGTAGTTAATGTCCCCTCCAGCTGAGAGTGGGGAATTACTGGTTTTTAAAAATCTCAAAAAAGGAAGTTGGTGCAGACGGAATGAGGAGGGTGGCACTCAGTCTGTCTGCAGGTGGAGCTTGGGGAACCCCAGCAGTGGGAGGTTCACCTTTAGGAACACCAGCTGCTCCACCAATGTAGGATCCAAGCAGGTGTGGTTGGGTGTCACAACATCCCCAGCAATGCTGAACACCCTTTCACTTAGAACATTGGTCCATGGACAGGACAGGTGTTGCCGGGCAACTGTGGCCAGATCCAGCCACATCTGGCTGCAGTTTGCCCAGGAGGCCAAGGGGTCACAGCCCAGTGGCTCCTCAGCAAGCTAAATAGCCACTGAAGCCTCGACACTACCTGCCCAAGGCTGGGGTCTGGTGCATTTGGACCCCAGCATTGAAGCCATGCCCATGGCCCACATTGGCAGTGGCTGGAATGGAGGAGACTGGCTGGTGCTGGTGCTAGGAGTGCTGGCACAGGAAAGTGGATCCCCCTCTTCTACATCCCCTCGCTTCTGCACTTCAGCCTCCCTGACTTTGTTCACCAGCACCTGCATCCTGTGATCAAGGGTTTTGGGGCTGTCAGTGAACATGCTCCCCTTTACCCTCAGGGCGCACCTGCCTGCCATCGTGTGGACCATATTGGACCGCAAGGGAGCCGTCTCCTGATGCCCTCCTTCAGCTGCCTCACCAGTGCCTGCATGTCTGATGACAGCAGCCTGCCCC